TATTCATGCATGTAGGTCAGAGGGTAATGTCTGCTGTCTTTTTCAGTTGTTCTGCCTTTCTATTTGAGGCACACTCGCACTGAATCTAGAGTTCACTGATTTGGCCAGCCTGTCTAGCAAGCACCGCAGATCCTCTATCTGCCTCCCGGTTACCTACTAGTCCATTCCCGCAGCCCCAACCCTCGGCACATCCTAGTCTCCCTCGGCCTTTCCTTGTCCTCACAGACTATCCAGATTCGGTCAACTGTAACTCTAAAATCTAGCTGCACCCCTATACTACCATGGGCACTGCTTTGTTGAGCTCTTATCATCTCCCCTCCTGCTGCAGAGCTGGCCATCTTGTTTTTCTTTTTTAATTACTCTCTCATTTCAGACAGTACAGACAACAAGCACTCTAAACTTAAATTTTACTTCTGTCTCTTCCTGTCCTAAATCACTCATTGGTTTTAAGGTCCCTAGTTCCTTTCCCTGTCTCATGTTGTTGCTTACCTCAAGCTCTATTTTCTGTAGCTTCACAAGCTAAGGTCCATTTTTCTCTTCTGGTTTCATTTCTTTCTTTTCATCCCATAAAATTATTCTCACCAAAGCTGTGAATGACTTCTATGCCATCCATCCATTGGGTAGGTTCAGGCCCTCATTTTATAAGACTGGCCTTCTTCCCCACTGCCATCTACATTATACAACTTCATCTTTCTTCCATGGCATCAGATCATCTTATCCTTTCCCTGTGTGGCTTTGCTGGATTAGGTTGAGGTCAGTCATCTCTGGCTAGCCAGTTATTTGAGCTCAGTATACGGTGATACACTCCCTTTTCTCATCTGTTTTTAAAAGTCTCTCCTGATCTGGGAGACCCCAGGTCTTGTAAGGAGTCAATGAGCATCACATAGTCCTCAGGGCAGATAAGAGAACAGACCCTTCTATGATAAGGAAACTGCTATAGCAAGCATTTAGGAATTCCTAGAAATGCCCCACCCTGCTAAGGATCTTAGTTTAGTAGTGACCTTCAATTGTTCTTGGAGATTCCCCCACCCCCACTCCCATAGGATAATTAAGTACTGTATTTTCCTTCTTGTGATAGACCATTAAGTATCCCTGACCCCCTGATACAGACCCCAGAGAATCAAACACATTCACGGTTGAAATCTCTCCCTCTGCCCAGGGTTTATATTGCCCTTGATTTCACACGAAAAAAAGTCTGCACTTTCTCACTTCAAGAACCTCCTGAGATTCATCATTTTTCCTCCGCTGGGCTTTGTCTCATGGGATCTGCCGTTCGGTCTGCTGGGCCTGGGCCTCACCAGGCCTTTATCTTAGCTGCAAGCCGAGCTGGTATGGGCCTTGACATGCACCTCTGCTGTACTCCGCACAGCAGCTTAACCAAGAGCAACACTTTGGTATCACCATCGGTTTTGGAAGGCCTGAGCTTCCATTGCCACCAGTAACCCGGTGCTAAAGAGCTAAACCATAACATTCTGTGGAAAACCTTTTCCACACCCTGGCTTAGTGCACTTGGGCCTCACGTTAAGGTTTTCTATCTGCCCCTGAGAGAAACAGAGCTCCAGGACCCCAGCTGAGATCCAGGCTCCTGCTGACTGGAGAACTACACTTCTCTCCCTCATGCACCCTTGCCAGCCTGTCCTGCTCTCCTTTAAAAATCATAGGCTGGATCCCTCTTTATCCTCTTGTTTTCTAGAAGTATCCATTACTACTGACAAAGCAACAGCTCCCAATCTGATAAGCATAGTCCAGGACTCTCTGAACTCCAGGAAATAGAACATTTCCTATCTGATATTTCCATTTTAGACATTGCATAAGCATTTCACAGTCAGAATATAAAGCCCTCGATTCACTCTTCAGTTACTCTTATATTACAACTCCCCATGCTCCTCTCACAGCCACTGGCTAACACACCCGTATGCTTCTATTCCTTTCTCTGAATGACGATGATCTTTTTGCCCTTTTCCCCTGTCAATCAATCTACCCAGTTGCCCAGCCAGAAAGAATCCGAGTCCTCTGGTATTCTCCAGAGTCAGTCCATCATTGAGTCTTGAAAATTCGATCTTCTTATAGCTTTTACATTTCCATTGTTTTGAGTTTTGGTTGAAATCATCCTTCCATCATGTTAATGTGCTACTCTATTTAATGCCCATTGTTTATTGTATTACAGTCAGACTCTTGGAACCATTTACAAATTGACCTGCCCTCCTTGCTTATCCTGTGTGTCTGACTCTTTTGCCCCTCTCATTGCTGCTTTGCCCCCTGTTCCTATGGCATGCTAAACATAGACATCTTAGCTGACACAGGAATTTTTCATCACCCTGTCTCTTAGCTATTCTCCTTGGGCTTTGGTAAACCAAGCTTTTCTGAAGTTTTCCCACACAAGCCAATCTATGTGCTCCTGCCCCAGGTTCGTCTCTTCTATTCCTAGGCACAAGCCTTCTCAGAACCCTTTGCTTCTCATTCCTGAGAAAGACATCCTTTGTGTAAGACATAGCCACCATCTACTGTGTCTACCCCGTATTTCCAGCTTCTACTGCTGGCTCACTGTTGGTCCTCCGCAAATATTAGTGGAAGGAAAGAACCTTAGGCTTGAGAAGGCATTTGGTTAATGGTGTTCAAATAAATGAGTATATGAGTGTCTACATGTTTCCTTCCAGATGTAAACTGAGAATTTGTTGTTTTTGTGGGGTTTTTTAATTCTTTATTAATTATACTTTACTTTGTATTCCCCCTGTGGTTCCCTCCCTCCTCCTGTCCCAATCCCTCCCTTCCTCCACTCTCTGCATGCATGCCCCTCCCCAAGTCCACTGATAGGGGAGGTCTTCTTTTCCTTCCTTCTGATCCTAGTCAATTAGGTCTCATCAGGAGTGGCTGCATTGTCTTCTTCTGTGGCCTGGTAATGCTGCTTCCCCCTTGGGGGAGGTAATTAGAGAGCAGGCCAATCATTTCATGTCAGAGACAGTCCCTGTTCCTATTACAATGAAACCCACTTGGATACTGAGCTGCCATGGGCTACATCTGTGCAGGGGTCTTAGGTTATCTCCATGCATTGTCCCTGGTTGGAGTATCAGTCTCAGGAAAGACCCCTGTGCTCAGATTTTTTGGTTCTGTTGCTCTCCTTGTGGAGTTCCTGTCCTCTCCAGATCTGTTTTCCACTTCTTTCATAAGATTCCCTGCACTCTGCCCAAAGGTTGCCTATAAGTCTCAGCATCTGCATTGATATTGCCGGTTGTGGTGGCGCACACCAGTAGGATTTGTTGAAGGAGGCAGAAGCAGGAGGATCACTAGTTCGAGGCCAGCCTGGGCTACACAGTTTTTGTGGGGTTTTTTTGGTGTTGTTTTTCAAGCCAGGGTCTCTCTTCAGAACCCTGGCTGTCCTGAAACTCACTATGTAGACCAGGCTGGCTTCAAACTTGCAGAGATCCATCTGTCCAGGTTTAATGTACACCAGGTGTGTGCCACCATGCCTGGCTAAGCTTTTTTGTTTTTTGTTTTTTTACGGCTAAAAGAAGAAATAAAAGAGATGGCAGCACTTCCTTATGACTTAATGATTAGAGTAAAATGTCAATGAGAAAAATGCAATTGTTGAAATTTAATGAATTTTAAATAAAGTCATTTGAAATTAAATATGGTACAGGTTAGACTGTGGTTTCCAAAAGACACATTGCAGTTCTAACTGCTAGAACCTGAACTTGTAACTTTGTAAATTGAGACTTATCAAAAAAAATTAAAATGGGGTCATATGGGGCCTAAAGAGATAGCTCAGAAGTTAAGAGCACTTGCTACTCTTGCAGAGGACCAGAGTTTGGTTTCCAGGACCCACATGGAAGCATACAACAGCCAGTGCCAGTAGACCTAACCACCTCTTTTGTGGTCTTTGCTGACTCTTGCATCCATGTGGTACACATAAATTCGTCTATGCACACACACACACACACACACACACACACACACACACACACACATATAATAAACACACACAAATAAATAAACAAATAAAAATTTAAATGGAGTCATATTGGATTAGGACACAATGACTAACCTTGGGACTAGAGAGAGATTTGGAAACACAAACATCCAGGGGACAGACAGACATGTGTAGGATGGCAGAGAATGGGGTGATGTAGTGTCAAGCATCTCGGCTAGGAACTAGGCCAGGTAAAGAAGGGTTCTTCTCCAGAGCTCGCAGAATAGGCTCTATTGACACCTTAATCTTAAACCACTGAGTGTATGGCAATTTGTTATATTAGTTCTAGGGAACTAATAAATGTGGCAAATTTTATATGGCCATAGCATTCTAACAGGGCGTTTTCTTTAGCATTCTTATGCTTTATTTCTAAAGACATGCTAAACTTAGCAGCTTGCTCTGCTAACAATTTAGTTTAAAAAACAAAACATGGTTATCTATATTAGTTATCCATATTAATATTAATAGTAATTCAGACACAAGAAGTTTTTTCTATCTGTGTATGTGTGAATGGAGGTGCATGGGCCTGTCACGTGTGCCCAGAGGCCAGAGGAGGAGGTCATATTTCTTTGCATCACTTGCCACATTGTTCTCTTAAAGTAGGGTTTCTTACTAAAACAGAGCTGGACTGGCAGCCAGCAAGCCTCAAAGCTTTGGGACAGACACAAATGTGTGTGTGTGGCCATATTCACTTTTCTGTGTTAGTGGCAAGGATTCAAACTTCCTGTTTGCACAGAGAGTGCTCTTAACTACAGAGTTGACTCATGCCCTGTAGTACCTTTTTTTAAAAAAATAAATAAATAAAAGAGGATTATTTTTGTTGTATGTGTATGAGCGCTTTTGCCTGCGCATATATCTGTATACCACCTGCATGCCTGGTGACTAAGGAGGCCAGACAAGGGCGCCGGATGCTGAGAATCAAACCTCAGTCCTCTGGAAGAATAGCCAGTGCTCTTAACCACTGGGCCATCTCTCCTGCCCTCTGTGGTGCCTTTTGACATCTGCCGATGGGACAACACATTTGTGAGATTACCTTCTCCAACTGGCTGGAAGGTTAATAAGTCTCCCATTGCAATAAGTTTCTCCTGTTGAAAAGTTCACAATCAGAGAATTAAATGACAGCAGCCAAATCATTCGTTAGCAGAAAAATTCTTGTTTTATAATAAGTAAATATTTTTAGCATACTGAAAATTATAAAAGTATATGCATAACATGATTTTGCTATATTCTCCAAGCCTTTGTTGCTTTATGGTTTTCAGAAATATAATGCAAATTGAGCTCAGAAAAGCATGCATGTTGTAGTCTATAGAATCACTTTAGGGTCATTATTAAAGCCAGTTCCTTTGCCGGCTTTCTGTCATTACCTGAATCAGATCGTCTGCGAGCCTCTTTATTGTCTTCTCACTCAGTGAAATGTCCTCGAGATTTGTAAGAACCTCCCAAGTTCCATTCTCAAATTTTACGGGCATAGAAAAGACAATCCCTTCAGGAATACCAAACTGGCCTGCAGGGAACACACACAAGGCAAAGCATGAATAAATAAAGGAGAATTTGGAAAAATGACTGAAAAGGATTTTAAGGTTTTGTTTGTGGTGTGTGTGTGGGGGCAGGGGATGTTGTGTGTGTGCACACACAAGTGTGTATGTACACACAAGAGGAGACCAGCAGAGGGCGTTAGGTGCCCTGGATTTGGAGTTGTAAGTATTGAGCTGCCTGACATGGGTGCTGGGAACCAAATTCTAGTCCTCTGCAAGAGCAGGAAGTACTCTTAACCCCTAAGCCAGTACAGGAGTTTTAAGGGCAACGGTGGAACTAAACTTCTGGAATTGTTATCTGATTAGGACTCCTGAACACACACCTGTCCTTGTTCTGAGCATCTCCTTTCTCTCATATCTAGGGGTTAACACAGTTTTTATTTTCAAAGCCTTGCATGTGATTTGTGCCTGTTGTCCATAGCTGTCCCATGACTCTGCATGTAACCCATGAGCCTGAACCACTTGTTTAATCTGGTCTTCTATTCCAGCTTATTTCATGTCTGAGTGAACTCAGGGTTACTTTTGCTATGATAAAACACCACGACCAGACAGCGTGTTTATTTGGCTTATGCTTCATCATTGTACAAACTGAGAGTATGACCCATCCAAGGCATAATTAAAGGGAAGATTTTTATTATAGATATGATACCTGCACATCAGACACCATTCTGTGTGTTGTGAGGAGCTTCCTAATGTTAAGCCTGGGAACTGCTCTCTTTGTGTCCAGGGATGGGTGCCAAAGGCCCAGTGGGCTCGTGATCTGTGTGAATGGTCAGACTGGAGGTATGGGGGGAGGTGAGGGAGAGTTAGATGAACAGATGTTGGACATAGAAAAGACTGTGTGGGTCTCCAGCTAAGAGTCCAGAGCAGAAAGAGAAAGAAATACTCTGAACTTGACTAACAGACTAGACCTGGCCATGAGAGAAGCAGCAGCAGAGCAGAGCAGAGAGAGGGAGAGAACAGGTCGGGGAAGAAAGGTAGAGACAGACAGGGAGGTGGGAGGAGGTTATAAAGAGAATGAGTAGCTGAGGAGAAAAAAGCTCTTGAGCCTGAGAGAAGAGGGGAGGAGGTGGCTAGGATGACAGGATGGACTTGGAAAGGTGTAACAGGTACTTGTGAATGGATGAATGAATGAATGAATGAATGCATGCATGCATGCATTATGGTGCTGTTAATATATACACAACTTATAGATCAAGCTATGCTCTAAACAGGGCTTTACAAGATAGGAATTAGTACCTTCACTCATTACCCCCAAGGAAACAATCTCTCCGGGTGGTGAGCCATAGTTCCAGTACTTCATAGTAGTGGTTATGCTGTGTGCAGCCAAAATGCACCCAAACTCTCTGCCAGTTGTGCTCAAGGTTTCAAGCGTCATCCCAAATTCTTTTGTTACCCACTCACTGCAAAAAGTGAAAGAAACAATTTCACAGTAGAAACAGGAATGGAAAGAGTGTCCTCTGATTCCCAGAACTCAGCACAGGGAGCTGTACCCACCATCTACACAGTAAGGAAACCCAAATGCCCTTTTTTCAGGTGTCCTTGTTTCCTGTGAGAACACGAGGGGAAAATAATGAAACCAGACCAAAAGGAAGCACCAAATGTCAATCTGGAGTGTAGTGATAAAATATGGAATACTGGGGCTGGAGAGATGGCTCAGTGGTTAAAAAGCACTGTCTGCTCCTCCAAAGGACCCGGGTTCAATTCCCAGCACCTGCATGGCAGCTCACAAACGTCTGTACTACCGATTCCAAGGGATCTGACACCTTCACACTAATGCACGTAAAATGAAATAAATTATTAAAAAAAATACAGAACACTGAAAAGAGGTCAAAGACTATAGGAACAATATCTTTTATTATAAATAATTAGTTATATGTAGATGCTTTCTTGGGACCAGCTGTATTCTTCACTTAAAATCAAATACATTCATTAAACAGTGAGTTGCTTTCTGGGGTAGTATGTTCTATGGTCTGAAGTATAAACTCAAGAAGGAGCCCAGAAGGTTTGCCCTATTGGTGAGCCAGTGAATGCTCCAGATCCCTGTAACCTTGACCCTGTGCAAGCACCAGATGAAGAAGAACTGGGCTCCAGGGGAGGGGCCCAGCACACACTGCTCCTCGGTATAGATAACATCCCCGTGGTCTGAAGGGGGATGGCAGACACAAGACAACGGAAAAGAAAACATTGCAACTGGGGAACTGGAGCAGGAATCAGAAAAGTGCTTCAAGGGGCTCTGGTTCTTCTGTCTCCTCATAATCGAGTGTTTACCTGGATGAATTTTTTAGTTTTCCCATTTATTCTATACAGGACATTTTCATTCTATCAACAGAGAAGCTGAGGCACAAATTTGATTTAAGTTCTCTAAAGCCACATGACTAATAAATGATGATGACCGAATTCCAGCCCAGGGATGCATCACTTTTCGGCCTTGCCTCTCTTGGGACTCACTGGTCAACCTTACCCAGTCTGCTTGCTCATCATCTTAACTCTCCTTCCTATGAATGCTTCAACTACTTTCTACTTGGCTACATGTCTGGCTTGACATTAACGCTTGCTTTGAGTATACCTGCTTTAGAGATAACTTTAACAGAATATACGAACTACTATCAGGATAACCTGAAATACAAAATTCATAATTTTATAACAAATCAAATTGGGATGAGGAGCAAGTAGCGGATTTTTTTCCTGATTCTTCAATAGAAAGCACAGAAAAAAAAATGTGTGCATAAACAATACAAGTTATTTTTTTGTGTGTGCAAAATTTACAAGATGGTATAATGGTGCTTACAACTATTATACATCTATTTCATTTATCCAATGTTAGTATACTTCACTTAAAAACATACTGTACCTGTCAAAAATCAAGTTCAACACAGAGTGATAATACCCAGGAGGCCCCCAAATAGCACTCTCGTAGTTGTAAACTTTGGCCTTCCTCAGATCAACATAGTTATTTCCAGTGATATTACCCCAAATTATCACATCTTTGATGCCTATGCAGAAACAGAATCAGAAACAATCACAATGAAGTTCATTAGTATAACATTTACTCGAACCCAATGCCTTGTCTGTGTATTTATTTTGGTGTTGGTTCATGGGAGTCCAAGCTCTCCAATGTGTGCAGCAGCTGGGGTTTACCTCCCTAGTTATTGGGCCTCAGCAGTCACTAGTAATGCCTTGTGAATGGTGTGCTAGGTGGGCAACTCAAGGAATACTGATGAAACTGGCGAAAGAAACTGTTGCTGAAAATTGTGTCATTTGTGTCGCTCTTAATTTCACTCCACACACACACACACACACACACACACACACACACACACACACACGTGGTGTGCATGTGTGTGGATGAGTGTGCACGTGTAAGCTAGAAATGGCATTGGGAGTCTTCCTCAATCACTCTCTACTGTATCTTTTAAGAAAGGGCAGGGACAGGCTGGCCAGTGAGCCCTAGAGACCTACCTGTCTCTCCTCCAGTGTGCTATGGTTCTGATGGATGTAGTCTTACCTGACATTTTACTGACTGAGATGTTTCCCCCACCACAAGGGAATTTTTTTTCAACGGCTCAGATTCTGACAAGACACCATCTATTCTGGACTAAAGTAGAAATGTGTATAAATGACTCTCTGGACAGGTTTCACCACTTGTAAAGTAATGGTGATGATATTCTTCATGGGAGGTACTTTCAGAAACACGGCTTAGGAGAAAACAAATAACCTCTGTTTCCCACAGCGTTCTAGGATGAGGGTTGGGAGGATGAGCGAGGAAACAATACCGTATAATCATGTGGTGGTTATATCTCTATGGAGAAAAAGAAAAGAATATGAGCTGGAGAAAATATGGATCGGTATTTAAGATGATTCTGCAATTGTTGATTTTCTAGAAATGTTTTATGCAATTTGAAAAAGAATTTTATTTATGTCCTCACTTCCTGTTATCTTAGTTAGGGTTCCTATTACTGTGAAGAAACCATGACCAAAGCCGTTGGGGTGGAAAGAGTGTTGTCTTAAACTTCCACAGGGTAGTCCATCGTTGAACAAAGTCGGGGCACAGACCTGAATTCAGGAGCCTTTGCAGATGCCATGGAGGAGTGCTGTTGACTGATTTGCTTTTTATGTCTTGCTTACCCTGATCTCTTATAGAACCCAGGACCACCAGCCCAGGGGTGGCACTATCCACCATGGGCTGGGCCCTCCCACATCAATCACTAATTAAGAAAATTCCCTACAGGCTTGCCTATAGCCTGATCTTATGTAGGCATTTCTCAGTTGAGGTTCCCTCCTCTCAGATAACTTTAGCTTGTGTCAGGTTGACAAAGCAAACAAATCAGGAGCAAAACAAAACAAAACAAAACAAAACAAAACAAAAACCAAAAACTAGCCAGCACATCTATCTACTTAAAGTCTGTTTCTTGGCGATTAAATTCTTTTCTGTTCTCGTGTGGAAAGAAGACTATTAGACTAATCTTTTAGGGTAAGATGCTGAAGCTATATGCAAGGAGACAGAAGAATTCTGAGCTTTTCTGTAAAGAAGTGGATAACAGCACTGGCCATTATGATAGGTGCTCCCTAGCTTCTTGTACTGACTTGGTTTAGACTGTTGTCAGCTCACTTCCATTGTCTCCTCAGCTTTCATTTCCAGAATTCCTGTAGTTCCATTCTCATGGATGCTGTTGCAAGGACACAAAGGATCAGCTCTAAGGACTCGAAGAGCTAAAATATGCTAAATGTGATTCAGCCTCATTTTCATATGATTCTGATATCTACCAATTGAAAGATCAATAACAAAATTTAATTAGATATAATAAATTTGATCTCCTTCTATCCATGTTTTACCACACATGGATATTTTAGAAATACTGTCTGTGGTGGTTTTAATGAGAATAGCCTTCATAGGCTCATATGTTTGACTACTTGCTCCCCAGTTCGTGGAACTGTTTGGGAAGGATTAGGAGGTGTGGCCTTGTTGGAGGAGGTGGGATGTGGGATTTGAGGTTTCAAAAGTGCCCCCCCCACTTCCCTATTGCTTATGGATCAGATGTAAGCCCTCAGCTACTGCTCCAACCCCATGCTTGCCTGCTGCCATAGTTTCTGCCATGATGGAAGAAACCTTATAGTTTCTCACCCTCTGAAACTATAAGCAACACCCCAAATAAATGCTTCCTTTTATAAGTTGCCTTGGTCATGGTGTCTCTTCACAACAGTAGAAATGTGACTATGTCACCGCCTTATTGAATCTGCACCTCAATTCTAGGAGGGGGTTGCTGTTTCTAAAGATGATAAATCTGAGTCACAGAAAGTTGATTTTTCAGAGTCACATGAATGTGAAAGGAAACAAAGCCATTTTAATAGAGCTTTGATAGTCTTTAAAGACCATACACCACTTTCCCCATTATTATCATGGCGACATGGGGTATTAGGTTTAAACTTGTTACTTGACTAATAGAGATCTTATTGCAACAAATATTTGTTAACTTTGTAATGATGGACAAAGTCATGAAAGTAGAGTAAAAGCAGTTTTTGCAGTTGCCCCCTTATCCACAGCTTCATATTCTACCCATTGCTTTATCCACACATCTTTTGGTAGGGGGTGCAGCAGGATTGGAGATTGAACCTAGACTCTCATGCATGCTAAGCAAGAGTTCTACAATTGACCTACAGTGTCAACCCTGCACTCTAAGGTATTATAGGAAAAATTTGAAACTTAAGCAGTGGGTAGCTTTTAGATAACTTTAATTGCTGCATGTTGCTATGAATGATTTGTTAGGTTATTACTATTTATTATTGCTAGTCTCTTGCTGCCCCTGAGCTGGGCATGGGGTGTGGGGTAGTCTAGGTAGCGTCCTCTGAATGAGGGGGAGCCACAATGTCATCACCTGAATGAGTGAGGCATCACACCGGTTCTACCCATCACTTCTAATCTATGCCACACATCCAGGATGGTCCTGGAGAATGTAGCCTTCTTTCTCCACCCTTTGAATCCATGTTTCAAAACACAAACAAGACACCCAATAGGAATTCACTCACTGGACGGGCTCGTCTTCATCTTCCTGGCCAGTATTGCTTTTGCTTGCCCTTCCACACCCAGTGCCACTGCAACGATGTTGCTTGCGATGTTAGGGGCATATTGCATGAGCAAAGCTGTTTTAAGATTCACAAACGTTTTCCCTCCGACAATGACCTTGACAGATTTGTCAGCATTTTTCTCCATCATGTAACCATAGAGGTGGCACAGTGGTACCCTGCTTCGAAGGAATCCTTCCAGGCTGAACACTTCCTCATCTGTGATCTCATCCAGGAAGATGATGACTTGGGCCTGAAAGAAGGCCTCTTCAATATTTGTGCAGTAGGAGACACTGCGGAGAATTGGTGATGCCAAGTCCTGAGTTTCCATCACTATACTTATCAGGCAGTTTTCTGTCTGCTCCCAGTCAAAGAAGGTTAGGCTGATCTCTGTGTCCACCCCAAATACGTCTCCACTTGCCAAGATGGGGATTAGGTGGTTGCACACATTAGTACTTGCACTGATTAAACGCAAAAATTGGATGGGAGATGGTTATATTCCAATTATGCACTTTATTCTTAACCCATATTTTAGCATGTATTCCTCAGGATGGTTCACTATTTTACATGAACATGCTCACACTTGCACAAATGTGGCTAGTGATCCAAACCGGAGCAAGAAAGTCTCACTACTCACTCCACATCTGACAATACCACCAAATGAAAATTACTGGTGTATTTGATTTTTCAAATAAAAGAGCTCTCACACATGCAGAAAACAAAACAAAAACAAATAAACAAAAGTTCATTATCAGATTGTTGTGCTTATGTGCTCATACTTCCTCGTGAAAAGACAAAGACATATGCCTCAGTTAGCCATTGTCTTGTACTCCTTTATCTACAAATGAATGCCTTTCCCAAAGTTCCACAAAGAAAAGCCCTTACAGGGATGGCAATGGTAACCACAGGTTGTGTGCTCTATCCTAAACCAAAAGTACTTGGATCTTCCATTTCTGTGACGACCAACTATAAGGAGTTGGAAAATTCATCTGAGAACTTCTATTATTCTTGTTGGGAAGGGCATGGTGGTGACATCCTTTTCAGTTCTTGATTATTTATGGGACAATTTCTGAGTCTTTTCAGTGTTTGTAGTGTTCCATAATTATACATACTTCCTTAAAACAGGTATATGTTAGGATACATACATGTAGTGAGAAGGACAGTGTGAGGAAGACAGAGGGGAGGGAAGTGCAGAGAGAAAGAACAACAAATAGAGAAGCCAGAGATGAAGAGAGAGGAAGTAACAAGTAGGAACATAAGAAGTGCATGAGAAGGAGAAAAGAAAGATGCAGAGGGGGGCAGGGTTGCAGATGGTCCATGAGTGCAGGAGGAAGAACCAAGGAAAACCAGCAGGTGGGGACGAGTGGAGAACAATCATCAACGAGGACATGTGCCAGGAAAACTGCTTGAGACTGTGTGTGAAGAAACGTACATGTGTAAATCCTAAATCACATGGGGATGGATGCTGGAGGCTAGACACATAGAGGCACTCATATACGTGTATAGCCCAGACATGTGAACACACACACACACACACCTTAAACCTGGCTCGGTATTCTTCCATCGTGGAATTCATCCAATCCCATTGTCCTTTCTAAAAATAAAAATCCAGGCCCATAAATTCTGGGGCTTGACTATCCCACCTGACAATCCAGACCTCTAAGGGGTTGATGAGATCATTCATGCTCTCTTTCTCCAACTCTTTTTCTATGTGTGTCTCCAGGTTCTCTTCAGCAATTAGCATCATCAGCTCCGTTGTCATGCTGGAAGTGACACCATAGTAAAGCTAAATATCAGAAAAGAAAAACTCAACCTCAGAGAACAGACCATTATTAGACCAAAAAGCTAGAATGGAAAATAGACTGGGAGGAAGATGGCAGAATGGCTTAGAAAGCAAGACACTTGAAATATAAAATAATGTTAAGAGAGTATGTTTGAACATATAAGCAAGGCAGTCCCCGTACCTGGGCATGTTCCAGGAACTCATTGTACCCTCCCAGAAGAAGGCCCTCGCCTCCTCGATCCAGCAGCTCTCTCCAGATAATGGGGGAGGTTCTGTGATCCCACCCATTCCTTTCACAAAGCTCTTCCAGCCACTCCTGTGGGGAAAGAATCCAATAAAAGTTATGTATTGAATCTGCCTAAGAATTCAATTCAATATTGTAGGATTTAAATAGCAAAGTGACAGCTTTTTCAATGCCACTATGTATGCATAATACATTCAGTATCTCCAGATGGTAAAATATAAACTAGAAAAGAGTGGGTGAGGCTGGTGAGGTTGTTCATGCCTTTAACTGTAGCACTGGGGATGCAAGAGACAGGTGGATTCCTGTGAGTTCCAGGCCAGCTAGAGATACATGGGGAGACTCTGTCTCAATAAAAGAAGGAAATGAACAAACAAACAAACAAACAAAGAGTGAATGAATGGCAGAAAAAAATAGTGAGACAAATAGCAAATTAATAAAGAACAAGGAATATTCTTCAGATCCATTGGCCACATGAAGTGTGAGAGTTTGTTCCACGGCTGGAGTGCATGTGTTTAACTTAAAGAGAGGCCAGGTATTCTAAGTTGGCTGATTTAAAAAAAAAAAAAAAACAAAAAACAACAACAACACTGATTTTTTAAATTATATGTGAACTATTTTAGTCTTATGGCCACATGTATGTTGATACTGCTTTTCAAATCTATGATTATGGTTGCTATGATTTAGATTGAATTAATGAGCTAAAAGTTCCTTGGGGGACTTCCCATCATATTTATCAGAAAAGGTTTATGTTACCATTATCTGGTCTGAGTATCAGTGAGGGTTAACATTCTTATCGGTAAGGTACAGCTGAGCAGATCTAAAGTCATACAATTGGAGGCATGGATACTAAAGCCATCTCACAAGTAAACTCTACTTCTTGCTAATGACGAAGAAGTCCACGCTCTCATTCCAGTCAATAGAAAGAAGACTGAGAATTCCAACATGGTCCCTCTAATCACTACAGAGCTTGGCTGGTGACACACTGGGCTGCAGAAAAAGGGAAAAAAAGTGTTCTACCCTAAAAAAGTGTTCTATCCTAAAGTCCTAGACCGAGGAGAACACATTAATGTTCATTCGAGAGCTGGGAGAGTATGTGTAGGACTGGCTCTTTGAGTCCTAAGTCAGGAGTGGCACATGAAGGTGGTCAGAAGAGTTCATCAGTGTGACTCACTAGTCTGCAGTTTGGGAGGGCGCACCCTAGTGGGGACACGGAATACAGTGGTGATGTATTACTTAACTGGCAGTTGGAAGTTTGGAGAAAATTTACAACTCGGTGTAAAAATGACAAATCTGCCAAGGAAGATAGTGGCAGAAGGGGCTGAAGGGGTAGGAGAGGGCTGCTGAGATGACCCAGTGGGTTAAAGTGATTGGCACCAAGTCTGACAAACTGAATTCTATTTCTGGGACCCAGGTAGTTGAAGAGAATCGACTCAGGCAAGGTATTCTCTGACCACCACATGTGTCTTAGCATATGCAGACTCCATCACAAAAACCAAATAGACGAACAAACACATAAGTAAATACACACACAAATACATACACACATTAATTTAAAAAGCTACTGGGCGTAGAACTATGGGAATCTGGATAAATTACTATTCGACTACATTTTCTGCAGGGACCCGGACAATATTTTATTCACTCACTAAGTCACAAGAAATGCACTGAAGAGAGAAAGGACCTTGTGGGGCAATCACCGGGAATGGTAAGATACTAAAGGACAAAGGACATGGGAAATGCCCACCAGCAATGATCATCTGTTTGAGCAGAATAAAAACCAGTCCCACAGAAATGATAACTTCGACAGTCATAGGCAAATGGCCTCACAAGAGCTAAGCAATCAGTAATGCCAACAACAAAGGCTAGGGCTAGCGTTTGATAATGGCATCATCCTTTGAGGACATCATCCCACCACTCTGTAGAAAACTGTCCCAACCCTGGATTCTCTCCACACATATGTAAAGGAAAATGAGTTGCCTAGATTGAAATCAATGTATGTTCTGGGTAGGGAATGACCTTTCATTCCCTGCTTGTAGTGCTTTCACCAGAACCCGGTCTAAGCACTTACAAAATGTTTAACCTGCCAACCCTAGGTCTTACACACATCTTTGAACCAAAGGGATCACTTTATAGAAAAAGAGGTACAGTGCTGAGCATATCATTAGGGGATATATTGTCCCTATCAGAAAACACCCAGCTTGATAGACGGACAGAGAAGGCCAGCAAAGCTGAAGACATCAGGCAGAAGACCAACATATTAAGGGATGGTCTGGCTCTTGTAAAATGTATTATGTATCAGTGTAGTGTTTTCCTCCATTAGACAGACTACTTAGAATTTAGGAATCAAGGAACATTGGTGATTCCCTGTTAGCTTTGACCATACGAGGGAAAGTGTTAACAGTCTTGTCCTGAAAAGGGACTGGGCTCACATCCCTTACGTACACAGAACTAGGTCATCACACCTAACATACAGCCTAGAGTAGTAGAGGGAGGTCTATAATGGATGGGAGTGAACAGAGATGAGTACTAGCTTGGCCTTGAAACTAGGTGCAGTGGGGAATACAGTTCATTAGCAAGCCTTCCTTTAATAATGTTTTCCCAGGGAAAGATCTTGATCAGAATCCCGGAAGAGCTGTTAGCAGATGGTGTGCATTTGCTTAATGGAGCACATGGATCCAGAGGCACAGTGGGTGGATTGTAGCAGATAGTCAGGAATAGTCCGGGTTCCTTCCCTTTTATGCGCAGGGCACTTGTGCCCTCAGTCACTAGGGATAGTGGAGCCCAGTAGCTTTCACTGCTGAGTCTCTCTCCAGGAATGACCCCCTTTCTTGGGATAGCCCATGTCAGGTGACTGGTTGATGCAGGAATATAAAAGCTCAGCTACCTTTCTTCAACATGTGGTCCCTCTGAAAGGATGCCCAACATGCTTTCCCTCGTAGGATCCCCTGGCTTCTCTTTTGCTGCAGCTGTATTGTAGCTCGACTCCCCCCTTTGCCTAACGCTGCTGCCTTCACCTTCATTCCTTCTTAGGATATTCCCAGAGCACTTTCCAGTAAGACTGCATCTTCAAAATCTCCACCCTGAGGTCCGTTTAGGAGGCAACATAGCTACAGATATGGCTACCTCTAATAAGTAAGTTCTATACCATTTAGATACCATGAGAAAGAGAAAGAAAAAGTGAAGTAGTTAAGTACAAACTGCCTGTTTTCTTGGCAGGACTGGGCATGGAATCAATATACTCATTTCACTTATTGGAGTCTCCACTGAGCTATTAAATATTAGCAAAAAATCATGTCTTGAGACTGGTAAGAAGTCACTTTTCCAGTATTCAAATGACAGTAATACATGACTAGTCATCATTGGAAGTTGACATGACATACTAGCCAGTATTTTATCAAAGTGAAACCTTTGTTTTGCGTAAGTGCCTTCAATAACTGTAATGGTTCTTACCTCCCACACGTCAGGATGTTGTGTGATTTTAAAAATCTGAAAGTCAGGAAGATTCTTTGCTAAATAGTCTGCCAAAATTTCTGCTTTAGCATAATATGGGCAGTCTGCTTTACCTAGAAGAGTTCAAATTAGTTATGCTTTCTTTTACACATACAAATTACTGCACAGTTATGAGGATTTGCCAAACACTTAGAGGATACACCGTGGTTATAATATAATTTTATAATAGCATTACAAAATTAACTTCTACAACCCAAACATCTAATTTTTGTTATATAAACAAAATAAGATACATTTCACAGATCTGAATCTTACATAATAAAAGTTTGCGGAAAAGAGAATGTTTTAAATATTTCTCTCCTCTAGTACTCTGCTATCCCACATAAGAGACTGTACCATACTTTTTAAGCATGGGATACTAACAGTGAGCCACCCATTAGAAGCCACTGAAGGGCCCACTGAGATGGCTCAACTGATAAAGGCGCTTGCCACCAAGCCTGAAGACCCGAGTTTCATCTCCTGGATACATACGATAAAAGGAGAGAACCAACTTCCGTACATTATCCTTTATCCTCTGCACAAATCCCCAAACACATGCAGAAACAAACAAATTAATGTTTGAAGAAACAACACTAAAAAGGTAGAGTGTGAGGTAAAGAGTGGAAACACCACCTTCCCTTTCAGATCTGATGTGTGATCTGGAATTGTGAGGAAGTTGAGGGAGCAGGAAGAATCTGAGGCGACCTTCTCTTTTTTGATGTCCTTGTTGGAGAGAAGTCATGGAGAGAAATTCCGATGAGTGCATTTGAGGGAACACGCAGTGCATGTGGGAAGGATGCCTGGCAGGTATCTGGTGGAGGTGCAGATGCCTATGGAGAACTTTGGATGCACGGTTTTGCAGTCAGGACTGCACAGGAAGTTAACCCACCCCAGGGAGTGGGATGGGTGCCAATTTAGAAGGACAGGCTAAGTGCAGAACCTCTCGTGGAACATTCTTCCTCAGCCTCACAGAGTCCTCCATGTCAATCCTTCTCAACACCGCTGTACAGTGTGTAAGCCTCTCTGTCTACTTCAAATCCGTTGTTGATCACTTCAGACTCACTCCATGCCTCACATTTAATGATCCAGTCCATTTCCTGGGTAATTAGCTTGTAAAAGCCCTGCACCCGAGATGACCTCAATTACCTGCCTTTTCTGAAACCAAGTTCTTTCAGCCCAGACACCACTGAGAAGATAGTGGTGAGATAGATATAAAGAACAGAAAAGTTTCCAAAGGAAGAGGAGTTCACTTATGCTCTGAACACTAGCCCGCTGTCTTCTTGGAAGCCTTGCTCAACAAATTCTCCCTACCCTATTAAGCATTGACTTTTGTTTCTAGTGTCTCTTCTTAAACATATTTAAATGCATTCAACTTAAACTTCACTTTCTCCTTCTTAAGCAACAAAAATCCTGTCTCTTCTCCCAGGTACTACTTTCTAGGTGTTCCTTTCTGTTAAAACTTCTTTTAAACAACTTCTTTCCTTGCCATTCTTGAATCTTAGATTTTCATTCATTTATTATTCCATTATAATCTAGAATTCCCCACAATTTCCCAGAAGGTGACTAAGGAATTCCAGATCTTT